CCCTTCCCCCCCCCCCCTACCCGGCCCGCCTGCCCTGAAGCTGCTTTCGCCGAGCCCTTGATGCGGGGCTGCTTGGGCCCCCCGTCGGGATCACGAGAGTGCACTCGGGGAGGCAGCAACAAGCCTCGCACGTGTGCGCAATTTGCAATGAGTTTCAGATACTGCATGCAAGCATGTCAAGCATGAACAACTGAACAACATTATCTTCTACGCACAACAACCGTCAACGATTGCATGCAAGCATGTACATCTGAACAACATTAGCTTCTACAATGACCCGTCGTGACCCGTACTCGCTCACCTTCCTCGGCTTCCAGCTGCACATCTGCAGCCGCGGATGCAGCTCGCGGGCCATTCTGCATCAAGATCTGGTAGTAAGCCTGAGGCTGGTTTGCCTTGATGTGCTTCAGCTTGTCGCCTTGGACTGTCAGCAGGGCCTGGTAGTAGCCGCGGACTTGAAAATGATGGATGCCCGGTGCACCTCGTTGTATCAGTTCCTTGGCTCTGAGAAGACTGATGAGGTACGTAGACTTCAGACCGCCGCGGCTTGTTGCGGCCGCGTAGTAGAAAACCTTCTTGGCCCGTCCGCCCGTGTAGGCTTGCAGCTTGTTCGTCGCTGCATTTGCCCGGCACTTCCACCCAGCTTTAAGGACCTCTGAAAAGAGCTCGTATATATGCCACTCCTCGTACGGGGCCTTGGCACCAGCTCCGCGAAGCATGCCAACTTGCAGAGAATGTTCTCTGCTCACTTCCTGTGTCATCACCAGAAAGTCACGGCCACGAGCTGTGATGTTCATCATGTCCAACGCCGAATCGGCGCGTCTGCAGGCCTAGGCCGCCATGTGTGTGCAATGCATCGGATCAACATGCACTATGCATTGAATGCAACTACAAAAGATGCCCCCAACATTCTGCGAATCCAGTTGCTATGCCCTCCTCAAGCAGCCAGTCCATGCCAGACTCGTCCGGTGCCACAAAGAATGGTTTCTCATTCCAGAAGGCACCCGCTGAAGCCAGTCGCAGCAAGAGCTCCTTGGCATCGTCTGGCCTGGGTACTCCGGACAGTTTTTTCGGCTGGGGCAGGCGACAGTCTGACTCAGAACAAAAAAAAACACAGCCGTCGCCTTATCCTAGACAACTGCCGTGCCGAGTCACATGTGTTCGGCTCTGCAAACAGCAAAGTCTGCGTCTCCTTGTCGCCACACCTGAAGCGCCCCGGACACAGAGTCGTGATCCAGGTCGGACATCAGGCAGGTGACCGGTTCCCCGCTCGGAACCAAGTTCAACGAGCGGGTCCCCGAGGAGTGCACGACATACTGCTGCATCATGAAGTCGAACGATGGCATGCCAGGACCAAGCACCGTGAAATGTGACATGGAGCCTTCCACTGGCCGGAAGTAAAGCGTCTGCTCAGCATCTGTCTCGCTGACAGATGGCTCGGCTTGTAACGCCTGAAGAGCTGACGACGATGTTCCGGAAGTCCCATGCTGCATCACCAAAGAAAGTTCTGGCTCCAGCTCCATTTGTCTCGCACCAGGCTGGCCCAACGGGCCCTGCAATGCACGCTGACCGGTGCTCGACGGCGGTGGCATCGCACCTATGTTGGAATGTTGAGCGACTGCGACAACCGCACACTCACACACGAACACACAAGCGTCGTCAAGCTATGGAAACTATTGCGGAAAGGCTCGCTCTCTGGCCACAAGAGAGACCGACGTAGTTCGGCCCACCATCAAGTGTTTCGACACAGAGAAGATTGCAGCTGGATCACGCTTCGCAACCTGACTGACTCTGGCAGCATGATACTCCATATCAAATCAAATCAAACAGTTGTTCTTGAACACATGTGGAACGCGACCGAGTCGCATCCAACACGTAGTCTGTCAGAGCTCTCGTAAGTGGTTGGAAGCGACGCGGTGAATCCCCGAGCCGCCCCGGCTCATTGTCATCTGGTGGGTGTGCCGTCTCAGAGACAGCTTTCAGCTCAGAGGCCAGTCTTTTTTTGCTGGCATGCTTCTGCTGGACCGTGTCCCTGTAAAGCAACTTGGCCATCTGTGAGTCCGACAGCATGTCGAGGTACGGACACGGTCGAAGGCAGAGCAGATACCTCGTGAAGCATGTCTACTGGGCAAGCACAACAACATGTCATGTCATGTCCATGGTTTCATGACAAAGACAGTATCAGCCGGCGTGATGTCGCAACTCGGCTGCCCGCATCACTGCTTTGTGAAACCCCACGCTGGTCTCTAGACCCTCGAGGCGCTCGACAATGTTTCTGAGCACCTCCATGACAAATGACAGAGATAGTGTTCGAGCTGGAACTTTAATGTCTCTCCGAAACTTGAAACTGTAGCCACATCAGTGTTGTACTGTGCGTCACCGACCCAACCCAACACGCAGGAAGAATATAACTGAAAGTACTGAGCCCGCGACACTCCATACAGTATACACCAATTCCATTCCATGCACCCAGCCAACTCATCCTTTTAGCAACTGCTGGCCTTTGGGCTGGTTGCGGCCAGTGCTCGCATGCTGCCGAAGCGACATTCCGACGACAGGTATGCCAGGGACGCCGATGGAGCTCGTTCCCGTATCCTGTGAATCCTGCTATGCCGGCCTTCCACAGACCTTTCCGCGACACGCACCAACCTAAATGCTGATATCCAACGCACAAAAGACTTGGCCATTGCGTCAGCTGAGTCTAACAGCATGCGCGGGAGCGTCTGGCCAGAACCCAACGCAACCACAAGTGGACGAAGCCCAACGTCGGGAATGTCGCCCTCACTGTCTTGGCCACGGAAAGTCGGTGCCAGAAATCTCTGTGATTGCTGACGCAAGGCACCGGCCGAGGTGGGATCGGCGTCGAAGAGCCTAATGCATCGTTGTGCCACCTGCTGAACACGTGCAGGATCTGGATCGGCGAGACCGCCTTAAATTCGGACGACGACAGTACTGAAGAACTGAAAATATACCTGGATGAAGTTCGGATGAAATAAGCTCGACTCCATGCAAGACCAGCTAACAATAGGATCTACACTCACACACGTCCAATCGCTTCACAGTAGTGCCACGCTGCACAGGTGCCACGGCAAATGCATCCAGTGAGAAAGTTTCACTGTCAGTTGGCCTGGGTATGCTGCACACAACAAGCCGCAACACTCTACAGCAGAATCACAGTCGAAAAGTGTTCATATGTTGCAATCAGAATTCTCCACAGTTTGGCACGGCCAGCGTTCCACGTCGAAAGGATATCGTTCTTTTGATTGTCCGGGGCCTTCGCAACCGCATCCATGATTTCTCCACGCTGAGATCGCATGAGCCGAGACTGTAGAGTCATTGCCGCGCCCGTCGCGAGCTCTGGCGCTCTGCAGCCCCGCAAGCAGCAGCTTGCAGCAGCTATTCTCTCAGGTACACGCCGTTCACGGGCCCGCTTGCGAGCCCGAGGTGCCGCTGCGACAAGAGCCCGTTCGGCGTCAAGTGATGAATGACATGGGCAATCCTCTGCCCACTTGCCGACTGCATCGGCCTCTGCAGTGAGCGCACAAATGACGTGCACGGTCGCCCAATCAAAATCAGATGCCATGAGGGCGTTCAGAGACTTGATTGTTGCCAGAGCGGTTTCTTGCACAAGGAATGGTTTCCTCTGCACTTTGTCATCATCCTTGGAACCAAATTTCTTCCCATCCCAAGCGGCTCGAAGAAGTTTGTGAATGGGCAGCACCTCGCACACACACAAGGACAGATCAGCTGCCGACCACGGCGCGTCAACAACTAATCTCTCAAAAGAAAATGCCGACAAGGAACCTGCGAACAGAACTGACTGACGGCTTCCCAGCGGAGGCCGCGTAGCTTGTCACATGCGAATCTGTCAAGGATCGCATGATCTTCGCGGTCCGTAACACAAACGGCCAGGAAACGTTCCTTCCATTGCACATCATTCAGTAGTTTATCGAGCGCATTCAGACGAGGCAGCAAACCGTTCCACCTCAGATGAGAAGCAGAGAGAGAGAGAGAGACTGCCCGAGGCATACATAACCAACTAACCAACGCGGGGCAAATAAAAGCATGTCATTCCAAGCCGCTGTGGCATGCTCTTCAGTATGCTCCCGCACAGGTTGTCAGCTATGTGCTTTAGCCCAGTGATCAGAAATGAGTTCGGGAATAGTTTGGCAGTGCGGGCAAACTCCGAGTCCTCCGCCGCAGCTGTGTTATCTGGTGGATCTCCACTGGATGGCACATTCCGTTGCAACCTGCAACTGAATGCGCAACATTCATCTGCTGCAACAGCAACACTAAACGCTCATTTACCACTCTGCAGCAGCACATCCAGCAGAGGCTGCGACGAGAGGCTGGGGCGGCTAGCACTTCTGCCCGAACTAGCAACAAGACTGCATCCATCAGCATCGTCTTCCATTGCTTCCAGTCTCTGGTCCGAGGGACCAGAGTCCATCAATGCATCCCACCGCAGGCGGGATGACCTAGATGGCGCGGAGTCCACCTGCGACTCAGGATCAGCCATTTTCAGAATGTCTCCTCGCCGATCGTCGCAAAGCTGTCCCACATCCGGAACTGGAGCATCCGACAACAGGCTCTCCGTGCCTACCGAAACAGGTGCAGAGACACGACCCTGCATTGCAGGAGACCGCACCTACTGACTACTGACTACTGACCTACTGGTGTTGCTACACAACTTACACAACGTACTGCAGGTCAGGTGCCTTGGTCGGACAGATTGCAGATCACCCTTCGGCCATAATTTCGAAGGCAGTCCTGTCGCGTAGAGGGGCTGTCGCCGTAGGTGCACTCCAACATCAAAGTATGCAGGAGCGCATCCAGCTTGTGGGGCAGCGCAGTGAAACCTGTTCAAAATTGCATTCTGACCACAGCATGATCCGTTGTCGTTGCTTCAAGATTTGAGACACACTGATACACTGTGCAACTCGGACACCTTTGCCCATAGCCACCGGTGGCAGCATCCGCACATGGGTCGTCAAGCTCGGTGCCGCCTGGGGGTCGGATGTGGCATCGTCCTCCTCAGGCCACGCCACTGACAGGAGTAGTCCTGATCCCTGGCCCGACTGTGAGGCTCGTCGCGTAGCTTCGACGTAGTCCAGCAATGCATCCGTCACCCTGAGGGACAGGCCATGGAACAAATCAAACTGCATGGATGCGTTTTCAAAGCAGCGTCCCACCCAGCCCGCGTCCCAGCAGCCTAGTCTCATACTCCTCCACGATCAGTAGCTCCTTCCCTTGATCTGTCGCATCGTAGCCTAGTGAAGATCGAGCCGAGCAAATATGATATGTGCAGCTGCAGCATCACCGTTTCGCTTCGCTCTCTCTCTCTCTCTCTCTCTCTCTCCGCAATAAGGATCCGACACAAAGCAAGCCACGAACTATCAAATCCGTTGGATTTCCAATGCCATTGCCGTGCCATCATTTGCACAACGTCCAGCTTGTAGCGGGCTCGGGATAGCGTCGGCGCACTCGGACCCATGCCGGATGCACCGCCCTGCCGATTGGCAAAAAAAAAACTTTGGCGTTTGGCACTGACAGACAGTCATAACGAAAGTGCACATCTGTCACATCCAGCCTCTGCGAGTTCCTCCAGGGCCGCAACTTGGTCGAAGGAAGACAAGTCGCCGGTGGCCAGCTGAATCGATGTGGCCATAGCCAATTTGAAACGACCGGCATTTCTTAGATGTAGATTCCTCATCAAGGCAGCGCTGAACGCACAGACTACATGGCTCACACCTTTACGCAGACAAGCAAAATTGAAGCAGTCAGGATGCAACGACATGCAGTGATACAGCTGGCACAAAGAGTACGCTCGGGCTCCACCACTATACACAGTCGGCACGATCGCGGTCGGCTGTGCATGACCGTCCGCCCCACGCAGAAGAGCCTCATCCAACACACTAGCTGCTCTAAGTGCTTTTGAAACAAGCTCCAAGCGGGGCGTTCCTTCTCCAGCTTCTTCGCCAGGACTGCCGCGCCGCGGAGAGCACCAATCTGTAGCGGGCTGAATGTTGGTGTCACGACGTGGGAGGAGACTGAGTGAGAACGAGAGAGAGAGAAAGAGAGTAACAACCGAATAGATACAAACCACGCGCGCCTCCTCCTGAGTGCCATGCCCGAGAACCGGGGCAGCAATCGTAAGAAGCAGATCCGACAAGGTGTGTCCTATGGACTGGACCTCTGCAACCCACGCTTCGACATCAGAATTTCGCCATAGCCCATGCAGTGGCAGCGACATGGGACACGGAGGCACGCCGGAACTGACGCGACGAGTTAAAATGTTGTACTCATGCTAGGTCAGCGCGAGGGCCCCGCTGCGCACAACTACCGATGCTGTTTTGGAGCACCACACCATGCAACATACACACATAAGTGGATCGCCATGTCACAGCTACCGATGTTGCTTTGGAGTATGTCTCAGAGTCTTAGGCACCACAACATGCGACACACACACACGATAAAAAAAATGGATCACTGTGTCACCATAGTCACATAGTCATAATAGTATGGCGTAAGTGGATCACTATGGCACCATAGTATGGTGTAGCTGAGTTTGGCTACCGGACAGTTGTACTCCGAACTTGTCTATGCTGCAAGCCACTTCATTGCATTCGAAATCACAGTCAGTCAAAGCGTCAAAACTTGGGCACACACAGGCACACAAGTGTTGATAAGCAACAGGAGTCGAGCGTGAACACAATCATCTCTGCCACACTGCACTGAGAGCACTGCCGCTTCAATATACCCATCGTCCCTGAGGTCTTGCCTGAGCCACACAGAATGCAGAGGCATGTCACATCAGAGCCGCACACACCAACAACTTCTGGACAGCGTCTGCAGTCATGCGCGGTGTCTAAGGGTCAAGCACTGCAAGATTCCATGTGTACATGACTCTATGACAATCCATCTATGGGTGTGAAACGGTGTGAACATCAATCTGAAAATAACACAGACTATGAATGTCAATACGATAAGTGGAGTATGAAATGGTCATGTCACAATACACATCAAGCAGCAACAGACGGCCTCCCACGCAAGCCGGGAGCTGTTTACGGACGAAAGCCGGTCCTAAGCCGGAGCTATCCCCCGTGCCACCACTCCCTGACCCCCAGCCAGCGCATTAGCGCATCGCCTGGCTGTCATCAACCCCTTCCCCGGATTGGTTGGCCAGAAGGGTCTCAGCCCCGAGTGGGCAGGCAGCCAGTTCCCGACAGTCCCATGCCCGGCCAGCGACATGAAGGGGTGTCTTATATGGGAAGCACCACACCCCTCTGGTAGGACAATCAATCACATCACACATCATGCAGCAAAGTATCACAACTTTGGGGGGGGGGGGGGGGGGGGTTTAGGGCTGAGGGTTTAGGGTTTACGGTTTAGGATTTGGGGTTTTGGGGTTTAGGATTTAGGAGTTAGGGTTTAGGGCTTAGGATTTAGGATATGGGGTTAAGGATTTGGGGTTTGGGGTTTAGGATTTGTTTAAAACTGGGGGCCGCAGGGCTTGGATTTTCGACGAGGAGTTTGGGGGTTTCAGGGTTTTCGGGTTTTGGGTTTGGGGGTTGCAGAATTTAAGGTTCAAGGGTTTTCGTTTCAGGGCTTCGGGGTTTGATAGTTTTAGGCCTAGGCTTTTGGGCTTCGGGCTTGGACGTAGAGTCAGGATTTCCAGTTCCAGTTTCCGGTGGTGCTGAGGGGCTTCTCCCTCAACCCTAAACCCCTTGACCCGAAACCCCTCAACCCCTGAACCCCCCCCCTCGGATTGTCTGCTGACTGCTTGCATAAACCCCTGAACCCCTAAACCTCAAACCCTTAAACCCCAACATCCTAAACCCCTAAGCCCCTAAACCCCTTAACCCTAAACCTTAAACCTCTAATCCCACAAAATCCCTAAACCCAAGGCAACGGCTGCGACGGTCAGGGTTGCAGGCGGAGGTTTCGGAGGTGTTGCTAGGGGTTTAGGGTTTAGGGTTTATAGGGTTTAGGGTGTAGGATTTAGGGGTTTAGGGGTTTAGGGTTTAGGGGTTTAGGGTTTAGGGGAGCTTCAATCTCACGATTTGGAGCCGAGTTTGGAACTCCAGCTAATATGGGAGCCGAAATAGTTACCTATACTATATCGCAATTATTCTAAATAGACGAGAAAGGAGCCCAAAACCCCAGTCTAGTTATTATATATTGCGGGCTCCTACATTGTCCACAGTTTGGAGCTGCTTAGAGCTTCGCAGTCGGCCCCCTCGCCGCTCTTGGCAATGCTGGTCTGGTATCTTCGATGAACTTTACACCCTTAGCTGGAAACCCTCAGCTTGAGCTAACCTGCGCCTAGAAACACGCTTTAGAGTTTAGGGTTAGGGGCTTGAATAATTACCCATACTATGTTGGGGGTTTCTTGTTATCACTATAGTATAGTATGCCCCAAAACCCGATCAATTCTTAAGGCACTTACATTACCGTGTACCACTGCCACCAAAGCCGCCACCACTGGCATAAGTTCTACGTCGATCTCGACAACTGCCAGTACTTACGACTGTTGCTACGACGAGTACTCCCGTTCTCGCTGCTCTCGCTGCTCCTACCGCAGCCGACAGCAAGTACTAAGTACTACCACGCTAGCGGCGGTACGGTTAATGCGACTGCCACGCGTGGTTCGGTTGTTACGCCTGTTACTACAGCTGCTACCACTGACAAGCGGCACCAACTCCAGAGGCGGTAGTGGCCGCAGCAGTCGAAGTAATATAGGGGCTAAATAATTACCTATATGTTTTTTTTTTGGGGGGTTCTCATTATAAATATAGTATTATGGGCCCAAAAACCCTATTCTAATTATTTAGGCCACCTATATTAGTCGAAGTATCAACAATATTCTACGATTGGGAGCATCCAAGGCTGACAGACTTGGACCTCTCCAACAACCTGCTGGGAAGTGGAGCATTGCCGTCGCTGCAAGGACTGGGCCCTAAACCCTAAACCCCTAAACGCTTGAAGTTCAAGTTTTAGGAAGTTTAGGTTCAACCCTAAGCTTCCAAGCAACAGCTTATGTGAAACTCTTGGGGGTTGTGTTAAGCTTCTTCTATGAACACCCCCCAA